GAAGGTACGACCAGCTACATACTTCCTGATAAAAACACGGCGGCATACCAGTATCCCGTTATAAACAGTGTTTGTATCAGATCACACTACTTTAGTAGCCAATGAACGCTGTAGCAACCGTTCGTCCTGTAAAACCTCAAGGATCACTTATTCCTTTGATTGGAAACACACATCGCTACTAATACTATATTGGGTACCTTAGCGTAGAAAAATCTCTCAATAAAATGAATAGACTGGAAAGCTTAGCTACACTATTATCAGCAATTGGATCTTGATTGACGTAGAAGAGTTAGACAGAGTGGGTTCCTTGATTTGCTCAAGTTTTTTTTTGGCCTGGATATGACTGTAAGACTAATCTGTGGCAAAGCCCAAGCCCGACATAGGATAACTCGTCGCCGTATTTACTATGCGCCGTTCTTTGAACTCCCACGTCAGACGACCTCAGCTTTCGGCAATAACGATTAATCCAAAATTTTAGAGGCTAAAGCGACCAGCAAAGAGCTGAGTTGTAGATAAATGATTTAGGTAAGTTGATCTTCTCTGTAAACAAATCAAACTGTTACAAGATAGAACTGTTTAAGCCGGGGAATGTGTTATCAGAAAATGTTTGCTTCCCAAGATATGAGCTCTATGTTTACTAGTGGAAGGCAAATGAAGATTTTTTCGATATTAGTTTTTAAAATACTCCGGTTATTGAGTAGGTGTTGGGCTTCGGACAGCACTTATTTATGTCTAACAAATGCCCCTTAGAAAGTTCTGCACTCACTTAGATGCTGAAGAACTACTATGAGGAACAATTTTCTGTTGGCATTCAGTGAAAAACCCACACAAATTCAATTGGATTCAGGGAATTCTGATAAGTCCTTAACTGGATATATCAGGTCTAAAAGTCTTTTTGAGAACAGCTAGATCTGATTGCCAATTCCTATACCTGATATATTCTGGTGTTGCCAGCTCGAATTTGGATACAGAAACAGAGACATAAATACTTTATGGACATTAGTTTTTCAAGCAATTATTTTATCAACTCAATATCAATCTTTTTCTTCTCTCTCTCATTTTAGATTCAGATCTATCTGACGACAACTCAGAAATCGACATCGAAGATCGCTCCTCGCCCGATTCAGATATGCTGCATGGTCATCAATATAACACAGCCGCCAATAGCAGCGCCCGCTTACACTTTATGGTCAACGAGTCGAGTGTCGAGTCGAATCAGCACTCACCAAATGGAGACGAACGCAGCAGCAATCGCAACCCCATCTCAACCAACAACAGTACTTCCACCACATCGGCCAATAATCACTTAGAACTGCCCACGACGCACCTGCAAACACATGGAGGTTATGGGGGCGGCGGTATGGGTGGTGGTGGCATTGGTGGGCACATGCACGGTAGCAAGTTGGGCTTGAATTTGAATAAAAGCGGTCGCAAGCCACGACGACGACGCACCGCGTTTACACATGCACAGCTCGCCTATTTGGAACGCAAGTTTCGTTGCCAGAAGTATTTATCGGTAGCCGATCGGAGCGACGTGGCAGAGACACTCAATCTTTCGGAGACGCAAGTGAAAACTTGGTATCAAAATAGACGGTAGGTAACCGAATTTATAAATGGGTGATACGATTTTGTTCTTTTTATTGTTTTTGTTTAATTTTTTTCATTTAATTTTACTCAACAGCACTAAGTGGAAACGTCAAAATCAGCTGCGACTAGAACAATTGCGTCATCAGGCCACTCTAGAAAAGGAATTTGTTGGCGATGGTACTTCGGGAGCAGCGCTCGGTTGTTGCCCGACGGGTTTATCGACTTTTAGCTCAACGAATCCATGCAATTTTCTTACTTCGGCGGCAGCGGCGGCTATCTTTCGTAATGTCGGCTATGTGCATGGCTGCCCGTTGTAAAGCAAGTGGCGCTCCAGGGACGTGATTTAGTGAAAATTTTATGCAATTTAGTTATATCGATTTGTCATAATTTTTTTGTTTTATTGTAAATATACGTTAAAGACTTTGTATTGTTGTGCAATGTATTAAAAAAGTTGCGAGTTTTCAATGAACTTGCGATTATAGAAATTAAAGCAAACCCTAGTTAAGGAATAATGTACCAAAGAAAAAAAATATGGCATAAAAAATAATGTAACGAATTAAAAATAAAATAATAAAATAAATATGATAGCTGTTATTAATAATATGATATGATGTTATTAAGACAGGAAAACGAACTAAAATCAAACTAAGCAATTACTAAATTATTTCAGTATACTGAGACTAACAGAATTTATTTTTAAACTTTTTGCACTTTTCCTCTTTTAAAGATAAAAATTTCGTAAAGTCTCCTTTTAAAAACATAACTTTCTTCCTTTTCCTCCATAATGCCTTTCACTAAAGCCCACGCGCCTTTCCATAACCTCAAATGAATGGTGTTACCATTTGATTGGTAAATGTACAAGAAAATCTTTTTGTACTTCTTTTTTTCCTCTATAAGCGCATTGCCCTTTCTGCATGCCGCCGCCTACCCGCTTACCGCTACGTCTTTTGTATACATTTTATTTCGATTAAAAAATTATTTCAACCATAAAAAGTTGTTATGCACAGCAAAAGGTTACAAAAACAAAAGCGACGCCTTTATTAAAAGTTCCATAGATTCAGGTGGCTGGCTGGATGGTTGTTCGTTTGTTCATAGGCAGAATGCGCCAAACGCTGAAGAGTAGCAGTGTTTGGTTGGACTGAGTTGAGTGCTGAACAGCGAAAAATTCTTTACAATTTTCTACCACTTGTGAATGCAAGCAAAAAATGTTTTTTAAATACGAGTATGAATTCGCAGTATTCATTTCTGGTCGCATACAATACAGACACACTGTATCTACATAGATAGTATGTATTTAAAATTGAGTGCGAGAAAGTGCATGACTAAGAACTCAATCTGCTTGGAAATTTAGTGCTGGTAGAGAGCCCTTGAAGATGAGGTTGCCTATAGCTTTCTAGATCGCGGTGGGGCTTTTAAAGACAAGATCTTCACAACTGACATGCAAGTGCGATCAGGGACCTTCAACTAACTTGAAATATCGAGTGATGAAGCTCTTTAAAAATATTTAAACAGAACAGCGTTAGGCTGTACTGGGTTGCGAGAGAATGACTTTCATAGAAACAAGAAACCCGACGACGAGAGTATTATAGAATGCTGCCACAACCGTCGGACCTGCGCTACCGAAACGTCCCTACTTCTGGCTAAGGACTATCGTCTTAGCAGTATTCCATAAAAACTTTAGCGATTTATATACCAACAACAGCAAAGACAACAACAACAAGCCTTAACATCTCGAAATTATCCTATTCTAGGTTACTTAGATCGACGAGCGTAAACTCAACCAACCCGGCAACGGCCTCACATTTCAGCGCACAATCAAACACTAGAGTCAGTTTTGGGGCAAGATACTGCTACAAAATCAAATGGTATGTAGTTCCTCGAATATATTGAATTCCTTCGCACACCGTACATAACGTAATCAAGCCGTGGGCGAGTTGCGGTAACCATTCCGTCTGAGCTTCCGGTAACGTCAGAAGGTGAGAGGGATTAGTACGGCCAACGTCAACGTGTTTGGTTTAAGAGTCCCTTGTAGTATGCAGTATGTAGTGTAGTATGCAGTATGTAGTGTGTTCACCATAAGGTGCGGCAGCAGGAAGTTGTCTGTCTTGGAGCAAGAAGCTCGCTACATAAAGTGCATAGCTATGCAGCGACCATTAAGGTCCATCGCGTTACCAGAAAATATACGTCCAAATTACACAGCTAATATCTGAAAGGCGGAACGCGTTGTTGTACGCTATTTTAGCACCCTGCCTCCAGATTTTGCAGAAGACGTGCTCTCAGAAAACTAATCCGTAGTCTTCTAAGGGCAGAATACTCACAGAGTATGTGTTCCATTGTCTTCTCTTCGTTCTACATCTCCTGAAAATTGTATCATCACAGCCGATTGAAGTTCGTGTGAAACCAACAAACAGTGAGAGAAATTTTATGAGCTCGCTATCATATGTTCTATACATAATCCTAGGCATCTTGCAGCTTTGTGTTTTCGACTATAGCATCTGTTCCTGCCGGATCGTGTATATGTAGGTCGTGCACACATTTAAGCGCCTGTAGGGAAATCGGCACCTCCTCTATCAGCAGAAGGCGACTTCCAGTTGCCCGTAATGCCGCTGCGTACCGGCAATCAAAACAGATGTTCAACGTGCCCGTATATAATTCATCCATATTTATGCTACGGCCTGCCACACTTCTTGAGGAAGTGCTGTGAGATAATTGTGCCTTTATTGTGACTGTCAATAAGATATTCCCACGTTTTTTAATTTAGTTGCCAAAGCATAAAGCCTAGCGGCTGTTTGCGCGTTTTCATAAACTTGCACTCAACAAAACTTCTTCCAGTTTTTGGCTGTGCGATGGGATTGCGGGATCAGAAGCGTAAAAATCCCATCCAATGATTATCAAAAAAATTCCTCGGATGAGAGCCTTTTTTTTGCTGATATGGTCGCCAAAGGAAGGACTATGATTTGGGGGTATACTTGGAACCCCGGACGCTTGAGTGAGTAGGTGACTCTGTTCGGCTGGTTGATATTCTCGACACAACTGCAGCTGATGTCCCGCAACCCAGTAAATACATACATTGCAGGGGTAAAGTAGAGCAAGCATAGCCCTAACAACTGCATATGGACCAATTCAGTGTTGGTGGGTAAGAGACTTCGTCACCCCGGATAACAAGCCGAAGGAAAGATGGAAGCATCCAAAGACCCATTCCATTAGTGTCTGGGCCGCACGTTTGACATTGGAAACCACGGCATCGAAATGCTTCAATAACTGCAGATAGCTGGCATCTGTGTCACCCTGTATGCACTGCAGATCTCCAAAATCACTTATCAACAAACGAGCATCCGCGAGCAAGCTATTCAAAAATAGAAGTAACGGCCAAATATCACCGTCGAGGAACTGGTTGGATCTTATCCATGGGGCTTGGGGCCTGTCTTGGAAAAGAACCAACGAGAGGACGATCGACCCTCACTAACTCTTTCTATATTTAAAAGGAAAGAAAGTTTATGTTTAAATTTGTTATCCCTGCCAAACTAATACGGCTGTGTGAGATATCGTTGAGCAACACAGCTGCATCAGAATTGGGAAGGAACTCTTCAAGCCCCCCCGATACCAAACGAGGTTTCAGATAATCTTACTCTTTGTCGCGTGATTTTTTAATCCTCATGTTGGAGCACATAATAAAGGTTGCACAATTGTACCGCACAGACACCATTTTCTAAGGAGAATGACTTCGTGATGGATAGACCAGGCGGAGAAAGCCCTGGCTTCGAATGGAATTTCCAGTTAGCGTCAGTTGGCACAAAAGAGAAAGAATTGGTGTTCTATGTTGAACTCGGTTAAACGTTTATAGCGGCAATGAAAAAGAAGAATATCAAATGAGGTAACAATTTTATAATAAAATAACAATTAGGGTTGCCACAAAAAAAAAATGTTTAATTAATTAAATATCGGAGGTGTGAAAAACGAAGTATTCACAGAAAAATGATTTAGAACACCTTTTAACGAAAATATTTTCTGGCAGGATTGCCACCATTTTGAATACTTTTGAGCGAAAATATTTTCTGGCAGGGTTTTCACCATATACAAAATTAAGCGAATTAAATAGTTTACTAATTAAAAATGGTTATTAGATTAAAGTGGATTCAGAATGCTTTATTAAGGAAATATTTTTGAGTAGGGTTGCCACCTTAAAATTTTTACCTCAAGTACCGATAGCAAATTCCTTTGTTCCTCTAAATTCTATAGAACTTGTGGGAGTATGGGTACGAATATTATCTACTCATTGCACATACATAGACACTTATCCATACAGACGTACATACTTGTGTATATGATATTCACATAAGTCTTTTGAAAATGCACTTCTAAAATGGAAAAGATACAAAATGTAGCCAACTGGAAAACAACCAACAAGCATGCAATTATATACTACAATAAAAAATGCAACAGCACAACAACAAAAACAACAGTAGCAATCACATAAGCTGCACAGTGATACATTTTCATGCATATTTACACCGCAATGCGAGGCAGTGGTATAAAAAATTGCAGGAAAAAATTTTCGTTGCGCTTGAATAGAATGGGGGCGGCGGTAGGGTAAAAGCAGTTGCAAAACACAGTTCTACAGCGAGGAGAGGAGCACTTGTAAAATCGAATACATAGTAGATACAAGTGTACACTTTCTATACAAATTGCAGTCAAACAAAAATAAAAATGGTGTAGAAAAATTGCTTGGCAGCAGATTTCTTTCCTTTTTTGGCCAACCACAGCTTTTCACATTTAAACGAGGCAAATTGAATGGCGAATGTCGAGTGCCGACCGTGGCGGAAGTGGAGCTGGAGGAAACGAAAGGTGGCGAGGGGGGTGGCTGCAGTGCAAAAAGTTATGACATACAAATCGTGTAATGTAATAAATTCGCGCTGTGTGTCTGTGTGTTTGAACGGGCGCTCGAACGCTAATTAAAAGCAGTACAACTGAAGGATGCTCCAGGAAAATCAGTGAAAATCAACTGCAGGTGAATTGGAAATAAATTGTAATGAGCACAAGGCATAAAAAATGAAGAAGAAGAGACAGACAAAGTATATGGAAGCGCATAAAACAGATATTAAGCGAAAAGCGAGCTAAGAAGAGGAAAATGATGAAAATAAATCACCGCTTAATGTTGCAAATTATTTGCGACGAGCATTAAAATTGGCGAAGCGAAAATGAGTAGGAGAAAAATGTGCGCACAAATGCATTTATAAGCATTTGTGGTGGTTGTTGTGGTTGTTGTTGTTGTTGTTGTTGGTTGTGTTAAGCAAGCATTGCAATCGGCACTATTTATGCGTTTACTCAGCGGCTTTTGTGCGTTGCGCCTCATCGATAATGGC